CTAACAATTATGAGAACATTACTTTAAATGAGTTATGATCATAAATACCTAATGTATCTTGTTAATTCAGTGAACCTTGCAAGAGACAGGACAATATTATTTTTCTGACTGTTTCAATGAATTTTATTATTCCTTCGCACTAGATAGAGTTCGCGGTGCTACGTGTGGTCAAGAAATGTGTTGCCGAAACACCGTGTGGGGTGTAGCTTGCATCGGTTCTCCCACAATTCGTGGCACGAACTGGTTTTCCATCAGAGCACTGGAAATGTGTACCGGGTTTGACCACTTATATGTACAGTACCTAATTTATATATAATTTATATATAATACTGTACAGACGATAGCAAACTCAATTTAGCCGCTCCGTAGCGTGGCGCAGGGTCGGAGGAAAGTAGTTCGGCTGCTCATCCACTATTGGTCCAGATTCTATCAATCTTGTCGCGAAACGACGTTATAGGAGGTACTTTATACGAATGTTTTACAATTTTTTCGCTACGTTATAGGAATTGTCGTTATAGGAACGCACGTTATAGGGGGGTCGACTGTATGCTTAATTATGTAATATATTCATTACGAATGCAAATATACATTATTACTTTCTGTAGGAAGTGTTAAAAAGCAAGAGTTTAATCAATAAAAATTCTACATATGATTTCTTCAAGCCAGTTTTCGGATACAACAGTCTTCTGTACAGGTAATACATTATTTGATATTTAGTTTAGATATCGTTGTTTACAGTTTTGTGAATTTAATTAAATAAAGTTCTGGCGATAATTGGAGAAGAAAAAGAAAATATTTAACTCCACATGGACATGTTTGAAATTTGAAAGATGATCAAAAAGTATTTATGGAGCATTCGAACGTCTTAGTCGAAAAACTCAAACAATTGCAGGAGAATGAAATATTCGATATTCTGGAATTGATGAAATACTGCACTCTCGATATAATTGCAGATATTGCTCTCTAATGTAAAATATTTAATTAAAAATTATAAATATCAATTTGTTCATACGTAAACATAAAATGAAAGATTCCTTCTTTTTAACTTATTGCTCATGACGTAGAAAAAGTATGAAACGAATTTTAAACACTAATAATAATATATATAGATATATATGTCACTGCAACAGAAGTAAGCTACTGAACTTCCCTCAACGAAACCAGCATTGGACGGGGGCAGGAATTCAAACTGTTTTTTTTACCACTTACACGTTTCACGATAATTACGGATTTATTCGTGTGAAATTCTGACACGCTGGTGACTTCCTTTTTTGTATAACTGCCATTTTTATTAACACTATTTTTGTCTAGCGACAGCAGTTAAAACTAAAGCTGACTATAATCATTTTTGCATGGCCTAACTGATTATTTTCCTCTTTCGTACATCACTGTTTTCGTTTAGTGAAACTACTTTGTTCTGCGATGCTTTTCCGAAACTGAATATTATTTTCGAACGACGCATATTTATTCATTTAAAAAATATAAATATCATTAATTAATATGCATTTATGTCCTTAATTTAATCAAAGTTATTCTTATAATCACTGTACCTGGTAATTGAAAATAAAACAATTTTAACCTGTGCAACTGTGAGACTGTAATCTTATACACCAGTATGATAAGTCCTATTAATAGAAATACACTGATATAGTGATTAAAAGAATAATTTTGAATATAAATATCAATTTATTTCTATGTAGACATAGTAGTAGGAGTTTCTCTACATTCTCAGACTAGGAACGATCAAGAATATCTGTCTGCAATACACAGGTAGGAAAATTCAATTCCAGATATATTTTCTCATTTTTCAAATGATATCTACAACAGTGATGTTTATATTAAATAATATAAACTTAGTTTATATCTGATGAAATTTTTAAAATGTTCGAGTCAACTTCAGTAGAAGGAACACGAAACATTTTAAATTTTGATTGTTTATCAATTAAAAGATTTTACATTATAAATGAAGTGTTATTTCTATATGTGCTGATCGCAATAAAAAGTTGTTAGAACAATGCGTGGAGAGAAGTATCGAGTTTCTAAGCGAATACAACGTGTTCATTAAATATGTATGAAAGATTTTCAAATTAATTTAATTATCAGCTATATCATTTTAAACTTCATGTATTTCGTACACGTGAGAGAAAATCTGTAATATGAACGACAAATGTTTGACAGATCAACTTTTCGCAAAGCATATCGTGGTTATAATAAAATAACTAGTGTTTATCCATCTTTGTGTTTTTCTTCTGTTGCCTCAGTACTATAAAAGAAGTCTTTATGATTACGAAAACTTAAAGTTTAAACATCCAACAACAATATAAAAATATTGTGATTGGATGTCCAGCAACTTATTTTTAATATTTGTCAAAAATTAATTAATTACGATATGAAATAATTGCAAAGTTTTTTCTTTGCATATTTTGAACACAAAAACAAAAAAAAAACTTTTACACAAACTTATGATTTAAAGTAAATTTTACATGTTTTAAATTATTTCAATTTAAAAAAATTCTATTATGTTTTTCACACGAAATATAATTTTAAATTTTATGTAGATTTAATAGTTGACAATTGTTTATTTCTATTTCTTATCCAACCTTTGCATTAATTATCTTTTGATATAATAATAATTTACATTAAAATTTAGAATTCTGAAATGTTTTCCTGCATGGATAGTAAATCCAATGTATTGGTTTTTTCCAATTTTCTTCATGAGTAAAATGGGAAAAATTTACAAAAGAGACGTTGAAATATTTCATCGTTTCAACGAAAAGGTAAACTCAACTAGTGAATAGAATTTTGTGTTTTGATTAAAATAATGAATAATTTAATTTAATGTGTAGCTGTTTAAGAGAAGAAAAGAAAATTTGGTAAAAAGATTGCAGCAGAAACATTCCTTAGACAAAGAGATCCATAATGAAGAAAATCCAAAGATCAAAACAAAACAGCGTATAATCGATTCCCTGTTGGATCTTCATGTCAAACAACGTTTAATATCAGAAGAAGATGTTATCAGAGATATGGGAGGCACTATTTTTGCGGTAAGCATAATTTATTAAAGATATAATTGAAAATAATTATATAATCTTGCATTTCAATGATATTATTCTTCTTCTTCTGAAGTAATATAATGTTTTTCTAAACAACGTATTGAGAATAAGTAATTTCACAAAGAGTTAACTCGGCGACAAAAATTATAATTAATGTATAAGGTAAAACCAATTTCAAGAACTTTCTTGTAATTGACAAGACTGTGTTGTTTATAAAACGCATTGCCTGCTGTCTTATCAGCGTAGAGGTATGAAAGGAGTACATGTCAGGAGTTGTAATTTGGCGCAGAGTATTAGGTGCCCAAATCACGCGCACATAAAAAAAACAGACTTGTAAATACTCGGGGGACCGAGCACCGAATCTAGATAAAATTCAAATAGGCGACACTCTCTAGAAACAGGCAGTAGTGAGAGATTTGTGCATGCATTGCTGGTTGGGAAGTTGTGAACACGAATAATATGAAACCGAATTTTGACGAACGACTCTTTGAAAAAACCTATTTACCTCTCCTGTGTTATTCCTCACATTTCTGGTCGTCACGTGCTGACCTTGACCGATTGACCAGAGATGTCTCGTTTTATCATCAACGTATTTTTACATTTATCAAGATATATATTATTTAAACAGAGTAATAAAATAATTTCGATTGATACAATATCCACATTTATTTTTTCAAAAACGAAAAATTGTCGTAAGGCATCGGCAAAAATTCAACTCGGAGTGACACGCAGCGAAGAAACATTTCGAAATTGAATAGGTTAATTTCACCGAAAATGCATCGTGGACGCTTCGTGGCCGAGGACGTGACCGGCGAAGTCTCAAAGATCGCGCTCAAAACCAGCTATACCAAAGAAGATTAAAAAATGAGAACGAGACCCATCGTAAGCAGGGTTGCCACTCCTAGCTTTTAAAACTCAGATCTGGTTTTTCGCCATTTTCTTGGTTTCTAGGTTTTTTTCTAATTTTTGTAAAATATGTGTTTTTTTTAAATATGACTTTACATATACAGTAGAGTCTGGATTATCCGACCCAAACGAATAGGCAAAACGTCGGATAAGCAAAAATGTCGGATAATAGGGAGGAATTAAGAAAAAGTTCATTATACATCACGCTTCGTTAAACGTTTAAAAGTTAAGCACCTAAACATTATACACTCATGTTTCTGATAATTGCGACACCATGAAGGAATTGTGCAAATTAATCCAAACTTACAAAAGATGTAAAGTGAGTTAAAACATGAAAATGAGTAGAATTACAAAGCCGCTTGTTACAGGTATATAAAGGACTGTAAAGATGCATTGAAATCTGTTTACTGTATCTTTCTCTGTCTGCGGTAAACGTTTCATTGGTGGTCAATATGCCTCGTAAAAAGCGGAGGAAGCCATACCAACAACTAACGGAGTTTGTACGAAGCCGCATTGTTGGTATGCGAGAGAGTGGGTTTTCGTATCGAGAAACCGCAGCCCGCATGCAGTGTGACGCCACAACAGTGATGCGTGTTTCGAAGAAACGGACAGAGAAGAAACAAATGAGGTGAAAACCTCGTAGTGGCGCAAGCAATAGCACAACGGCACGGACGACAGACATCTCATCCGATGGGTGTGACGGACCGTACAGCGTCCTCTCGTGTGTTAGCACAACGTTGGATCATGGCTACAGGTATTTTGTTGTCTAGCTCTACGATTCGTTGCCGTCTGCTGCAGCATGAACTGCGTGCAAGGGTTCCTCTACCAGGATTCCCCTTTCGCTGATTCACAGATGCCTTCGCCTTCAATGGGCTCAGCAACACAGCGCCTAGCGTGTCCAATGGCAACAAGTTGTTTTTTCTGACGAATCTCGCTACAATCTGCAGTACAATGATGGAAGAGTACGCGTCAGACTTTACAGAGGAAAAGTCTGCTCCCACAATGTGCTATCCAGCGTCATACAACACAAACGCCTGACATCATGGTGTAGGGAGCTATTGGGTATAATTGTCGATCCCATATAGCGCACATTGCGGTCAACTTCAACAGTGATCGTTACCACGGAAATTGTAGAGCAAGAGGTCCTTCCTCTTTTTCCTCTTCGACCTATTCCGGGTGCTGTATTTCAGCAGAATAATGCCCGTGCACATGTTTTTCTGATTGCACAAGCCTTCTTCAGTGCACAACAAGTTTTTCGCTTATTCCATGACCTGCTTAATCCCAGGATAAGTCGTTCATCGAGAATATCTGGGATTTCATTGGTCGGCGACTCGCTCGAACAACTGGTGGAACACACAATGAGACTTTACTTAAAGAGTACAAGAGCTGTCTGTCATTTAGCGGCTGATTTAGCCCTATAAGAAATGGAAGAAGAAGAAATGAATGATAGACCAAGTTTGAAGTGAAGAGATATAGCAAAGTGTGAAAGAAGACATGAGAGCCCATAGCAATTGTGTCAGTAGTTGCTAGAGTACAAGACACTATACAAAATTACAAAACATGGCTACAGTATAAATCAAACATAAATATACAAACAAAATGCCTTTCTGGCAATGATGAACGCGTAAATGTTCATAGATAAATATGTTGGAGACTGAATGAATATAATGGAGAGCTTATATTCATTCTTATAAAACTTATAAAAGCGAGTTGAAAAATAGCCAATGAGCTACGAAAACCAGCACGCTGATGCAGTCACCGAGCTAATGTTGCCACAGCTGTTGTAGTTATTGTCATTATTGATGTCGTTAATTATATTGCTGTTGTTTCTCTTTGTAGATTTGTTGTAAAATATACTCATGTTTGTGAAGATTGGAAAAACATGAAAGAATTGTCAAAAATTAATGAAATTTATTTCACATATTACTGATAGTGGTAAAAATAAACGATCAAATTTATAAGACAAAAAAAAAAAAAACAAAAGAACTTTGGAAATCAGTACTTTGTGTGTCTAACGCGCTGAGCGATAAGAGCCTGTACACGTCGTGCCATTGAATCATACGGGTTCTAAATGTAATTCTGGGGAATGACATTCCAGATTGCTTCGACTTTGCTAGAGTTCAGTCTTATTCAGAGGATTGCAGAGACAGAGTTTATGTTAAATGGCGTTTGTCAACAGAACGGCTTATAGACATTGGCTGGCTAAACCGTTGTTTAAAATGCGTTGCAATGACGACGATCGTCTATTTTTGACTGTTCTCTAAACAAACGTCGGCAAAACACTGGCTCTTACTTCGCTATTACTCCCCTGTTTTAGGAGTTGTTTGGCCAATCGGGTTATTTGTTTGTGACGTCAGAAATGGTCTCCAGCTATATTCCGAAAGCATTCAGAAAGAAAATCTTAAGGCCGTCAAAACCATTGTTCGGCAATTAATGACAATCCTTTTCCATTTCGATATTTAATTTCGTCGCTAATACGGTTTAAAATATGAACAAATACATATTTAGAAACTTTATACTCGAATTGTAAATAAATGCATCTGATTTAAATTAATTGAAGTTTTAAATCTTCACCCATTTGAATATAGAAATTGGAACATGTAAAACAAATTTACAGTATTTAATTTAGTTGTTTTTGCTCCAAGCAATTAATTAATGAATAATTTTGTCGACTGGTATCGTTTACAACATTTATCAAAGGAACGATATCTGTTTTTATCTAAACTTTTCCACGAACAAAGCTACCACTCGAATTGAACAGCCATCTAAACCTGCTGACGAGTGAGTCTAGAAAATAGGTCAAATAACTTGTTTCTAATCGCTGTCTATATTATAGCAGGCGAGTAACGCCGTCTCTGCAATGAAATGTTTCTGAACAACGGTCTACCCGATCTATAAACAGCTGTCTGTCTCTAAACGTTGTCTCTGCAATCAGCTGATTGTGTTCAGTTATTGATTTAATGCCATGACGTGTACAGGCGCTAATCGCTCAGCGTGGTTTTCTCCTTGCTATGGATGTCTGCCTAATAAAGTCACACACAATCCGCTACAGTTCGCCCTTATTATCAGTTCGAAATGGAGTGGTTCCATAATACCCGCAGTATTCCATAATACCATCTTTTACTCTATAGTAAATAATATTTGTAATTCCGGATTAATTTATAATTTTTAACATCGAAAAATTTGTAGTTTTAAAATCTGAATTTTGTCCTTTTATATTTTTATTATGTGAAATATCACAGAAAAAATTTTGAATATCAAAGAAAAGGTTTATTAATTACTGTATATTTTCTCTATTTATTTACAAGCATGAAAAGTATAATTTTATGAAGTTAAAAATGTGTATCTATCGATGATTTTTAAACATTTTAAAGCATATTATTACGTAGAATTAAAGCGAGAAATTCGGGTGAAAAAGAATAGTCGTACTTTACTTTACCGACTTCATATCGAATGCGGATTCTATAATGATTATGTAAAATAGTAGTTTGTTAACATGTAAGTCAGTTCAGGAAGTTATTATCTGTTAGCAATTTAGTAAATTGAGTAAATTGAAAGTAAATTGAAAGTGCTCAAAGCACAATTAAAGAATTCAAAGCACAAGTAAACACAAGTGAAAGTATTCAAAGCAAGTAATATCTGAGATAATGACCGAAAAATTTTGTAATCCGAAGTAAATGAAATCTATAATAACCGAATAACCGAAACATTTCCTCATCGGGGCAACTATTGTATTTTGACATTGATGATAGTCTATTTCTATATTGTTATAAATAACTTTTTGAATCGAAAATATAAAATTTGTACGTCGGGAATATTTTGCGTCATTGTTTACATTTCTGTCTAGTTTGGAAGCTTCAAACTTGTTTCTAATTAAAATTACTCGGTAGATCCGCGGCAATCACTTGCTGCAAGAAATGTAGCTGTGGATTATAAAGTGGTATGACAGGAATATAAAAGAATAGAGGTATTGTTGCATGCCATATACTAATTTTACAAGTTTAATATATAGTATTTATTTTACAGCAAATGTCAATTATATAAAAAGCAATTTTACATTCATATTCAACGTATTTTAATATCAGGGTTACGACTCAACCGCCCACGTTCTGTCCTGGGCTCTTTATTTCCTGGGAAGATTCCACGAAATACAAGAGAAAGTGTATCTAGAGTTGCAAGAAATTTTCAAAAATGATATGAGTAGAGATATTACTATCGATGACCTGACGAAAATGATTTACTTAGAATGCGTGATAAAGGTAACTTTTTAATTTTTTTTAAACACACTTAAAGATTAGATTTATATGTTACGAATTTCAGGAGTCGATGAGAATCTATCCTCCTTTCCCTTTGATTGCCAGAAAAAATCCATCGAAAATAAAAATAGGTAATTTTTTAACATATTGTAATTTGTTCTTCAATAATAATATTTTGTATTTGATATTGATTTGAATCATAAAACCGTTTTCATTGAAATAGGCAATTACGTGTTGCCTGCAAATTCGACTTTTGTCATAAATATCTATGGTATTCATCATAATCCTGCTGTTTACGAAAATCCCGAAGTGTTCGATCCAGACCGTTTTCTGTTTGAAAATTATAAAATGCTTCATCCTTATGCATTTCTGGCATTTTAAAAGATTTTTAAAATATTTGACAAATTAATATGTCCAGTACCTCTATTAACAGAAACACTATGATTATAGGGCAGAGAATTCGATAAACCCTACTCGCCTTTCATATAAAATGTATACAATTGCCAAAGAAAAAGGTCCAAAACCTTAACACGATATTATATATTATAGAAGTAAAATTTGTATTCCATAAATGAAATACAATTTTTAGTACAGAATTACAAGTACAAGACATCAACTGTTATTTATACATTTGATGTTTTGTACTTGAAACTATAAGCCACAGTGAAAAGAAAAATGAAAACATTGAAGTAAAAATGAAACCAGGAAACTTGCTTTTGTTTTTAAATTGTTTATACGGCGTTAAGTTAGGCGTTTACGTCTATTACCGTTATATTCTATCTTATCTTGGATTTGCCATTAGCTCTTCGATTAATAAACGTTATTCAGATAATTTTCATAGAATAGTATCTGTGTACGGAAATCGACCTCTTACGTCAAGCTCCCTGAACATTAAATTCTACCTGCACATTGCCTGAACAGACCTACACTTCAAAAAGAATCATATTTGAATCGAGTTATTTTAAAAAATTAGACAAACAAAGAATTAGAAAAGTATTAGACAAAGAAAAAATGAATATTCTTTCTTTGTCTAATACTTGATGTTTTGAAACTAGAATTCATTATGCGTATGTGTTTTTACGATGAATGAACTAGCAAATATATAATTTTTCTACATTAATTTTCAGTTTAAATTATTTTCGAGTTCAGAAATGAACTCTGGGATTGAGTCGGTTCTTTGACTTATATCATTTTACTTAACATAAATTTGAAACTTAGAGTATTTTCGTCAATTGGTAAACTTGGTGATTTTAACAATAGGACAGTTATCAGACAGATAAACAAAACAGACTGGAAAGTTATAGGTTCACAATTTTTTCAAATTGCGACCCAAAAAATCTTTGAACTTTTTAAAAATTTTGTGATAGTTAAAATAATGATTGTTGATTATAAACGAGAATCGTAACAATGCCTGCAGTTTTTAATTATTATATATTTAAAAAATCACGTGACTTCCGGTCCACATCAAAATTTTTTGTATCGTTAATCGGTTAACTTGGCCCGTAAGCTTTTCCTATCTTGCCTTGATTTTCATGTATTAAATAAATCTGTTCTCGAGATTAACGAAGGACAGAACAAGCAAAGTTATAGACAGAGACAGATGATAGCGGCAATGTATAAGTCTATAATTTAAAACTGGCAGCCTAATGATATACAGGTATTTGTAATGTATCACGTTAGTTACGTTTCAAAAAAGTGTCGTATAATGTGAATCCGTGATATAAGAAACAAAGGACTTATGTAAAATAAATGTTATGTTCCATAAGTTAAGAAAAGTATACAATTTGTTTTCACTAATAAGAGAAATATATTTAATAAAGCAATGGATAATTTATTTCTAATCAACAATTAATTAATAACCATGATTTATAGTAATGTATTATGCGATAATATTGAATTTAATTAAACCAGGTCGTCTTTTTTACAAAGAATTATCGTTTTTTTCAGCTTTTCTGTTGATCTTAATCAGAAATGTCGGCAACAGTTTAGTAATTTTTTTTTCTTTTCTCGTGAAAAGTTTTTATGGACAACGAAAATAAAAATGTGTTATTATTCGGAAATTTGTTCTACATGCTAGGTTTCTTTAGTTGCGTACCCGGAGACATTTTCTGCCGTTTGTGTTTAAATAAAAAAATTTAAATGTATTTTGTAGGTTATTTTACAAATGATTGCTTACATGCTATTAATATTTTTTAACTGTATCTTATTAATAATTTAGTAAAGTTTATTAAATATATAAAAAACACAGTCACAATCTTAAGGGCTACGAACTGACAGCAATGACGACTCCTGGTTAATAGAAAAGTTAAAGCAATTTTTTCCTTGTCCTTCTCAGCTTTCTATTACAGTAAACCTGGCAAAAAACAAAAAATAATTTGATAATTTCAATATTTTAAAATCCACAGGCAAATTTTAGACGACACATGGACTTATTTCAATAATAAGTATTGAATAACGACGTTTAAACCTAAAAGTTGTGAAAGTTTGTATGGAGAATTTGCAATACAGTGTTAGAGCGAAAACCAGAACTTGTGCTATCTAAGGATATCTTTAATTTTCAAATTTTGTTAGATCTAATAGCGCTGTCTGACAAATGTCTGTGTTTCTAATCACTTCAAATGCCACAATTAAAATATAATTCATTTTTGTAATTATCCAGTTACATAAATTTACGGACTAATTTATTGTAATAGAAAAATAGATAAAGATAAATTTTCAGTCTTTTCCGATAGTTAAAACACTTAATAGCAAAAGATTAAAAGTTAAAAATATAAAGTAAAATTATTAATTTTAAATTCTAGTATAATGGTATAAACAGCGTAAGGCATAAAAATTTGACACATTAAATTAATAAAATAATTTGACTTACTATATGAAAATTTGAAGATATATTTTATAATTGCAGCATTAAAACATGGAGAAGTCAAATCTGTAACAGTTACAAATTGTAACGCATCACTTCGCATTTTAAAAATTAACACTAAACTAGAAATATTCATAAAGTTTAAAACAAATATGACATTTTTATACCATTTAAATTAGATAATTAGTACTTCTATATATTTATTATTTTAATATGAAAAAACTACAATAAATTTACAGCTGATAGTTACTTTCCATCTTTATCTACTGTTCATAAATTGTTTCACGAAATTTTCTAGAAAATATTTTAAAAAATAACTTCTGCTAAAATTTTTGTCTACAACGTATAATAAATAACAAGGCTATGCAAAATTTCTCAAAACTGCTGATGAAAAGTACTATTGTTAATATGACGATTTTAGTCTCTGTAATCCAAAAATATTCTTGGTAGACAAATCTCACAGCAATCTTATTGGCAAATTAAATTTATTTTGTAAAGACTACATCAAATGCATTTCGGGCTGGTCTAATATTTTCCAGTCCCTCTTCAGTGCTAAAATAATAACAAAGAACGTAAAATGTTTAACTAAAACACGACATAGATGTATATCTACACCAAAATTATAAATTTTGGAGAAAAACTTACAATAACCGCTGGTGGTAATTACAATGATATTTCCATGGGTAGGGGTGGTAAACTTTGTACACATTTGTAAGAATCCTAAAATTACAATTATCTTTTTTTGTATAAAACAATATAAGGCTAATACAAATAATATATTAAACAATACTTATACTTACAAGTTTAAAAAAATTTTTTCCACATACGTGTATAATAAACATACCAAAACCAACTAATTATTAAAAATTCATTGACAAACAATTGTAAAAATAATTCCAAAGCACTACAAATTTTTAACTTCATACCATCAACACTTTACAAAGTCACACAGTAGACCACCAACACTTTACAACGGTAATCAAGTGATGACGTCTTAATACATAACCATTTATTTTTTATTTTATTCTAGCGCCATCTATTAGATTGTACCAGCTATAATTTATTTCCATCCCTTTCGACTGATTTATTAAATTATTATTATTTTGTTTTCTAATTTCTATATGTTCTTTGAATTTTCTTTTATAAATATCTTTTTCAATATGTAAAATTTTTACATTGTTTCTATTAATATTACAATTATTACTATTGATGTGGTTAAACCACGGAGAATTATTATACTTAAGCCGAATGGCCGCTTCGTGTTCTTTAACTCTAGTTTCTAGTACACGCCCGGTTTCTCCTATATATACACACGGATTATGACAGTCACATTCAATTCTATAAACCACACCAGCTTTTTTTAAAGGGTCTAAATTATTTTTACTATTATTATTAATATGTTTACAAATGTTTTGTGAAATACTATTGGTCAAAGATGGGGCCAAACAAATATTATGATTCTTAATACTTTTCCTGCACTT